GATCCCGGGACTCCAGGATCGTGACCTGAGCCGAAGGCAGTCGCTTAACCAACTGAGCCACCCAGGCGCCCCAGTTCTCTTATATTAATAATTTACAAATACCCTTTGTCAAATGCTTTACATGCCAGGCTCTGGGTTCATCCAAAGATTTAAAAGATGACCAACTCATCATCTTTACAAACCAAAGCATACATGGATTAAAAATAATAAAATTGGACACAAATTCAGGTAACTGTAACTAAACCCAGTGAAAAGAACATGGTCCACCTTTTGGAGGAATTGTCTAAAATGCCCCAGTCAGTCACAATTGTCCTTCTTCTCAGCAATGATACACCAGTTGCCATGATCATTCCCAGAGCTCAGAACATGCAGCTCTGCCACGTGCTCCTTCAGCAAGCCATAGAGCTCGCCTTCTCGAAACACATGGTAGTAGCGCATAAAGGCTCTGGAATCCAAAACGTTGGGCTGTTGGTCTTCGACAGAAATTGTCTCCTCTGGGTTGGAATCTGTGGAGTCAAGTGCAGAAATCCTTCTCAGGATTCTACTAGCAGAAGGGGGACCTTCTTCCACATCACCTGCATTCATGCCATTCTCACTAGTATTGGTGCCTTCCAGAAAATTCCCATCTCCATTTCTCCTAACTTCTCCTTGTTGGTCCCCACATAGATGTTTCACTGTGGCTGGTGCTCTCGGCCACTCCAGTTGCTTTTGAGACATCTCCACAAACACATCTTCATCTAAATTTTGCTCCCTTGTTGAAAATGGTTCTTGGGGACCTGAGTCTAAACTGGCATGTGGGGAAGGCTGGATGGATATAGTGCTATGGGCCCAACCTTCTGTATTTTTCAAGGGTCTCACTCTTTCAATTTGTTTCCTCAGAGTTGATTCGTCCAAAGACCTAGAGAAAAACCAGGAGCGAAAAGATTTTCCTAACGTGTTAGAGAATCCATTTTCTTCCTCCCCTCCCTTAGAAATATCTGCACAACACATTCTAGCCATCAGTGGCTCATAGTCCAGGCTATGGGATCGTTGTGAATGACACTGCTCTTGAAAACAAACAGAACAGCTACAGACAGAGCAGGGAGGATGGTAGGGATGGCTTCTTTCTGAATGTGCACACGGCTGCTTTCTCCCAGGTTGGCTGGAGTCTGCGAAAAGCCGGGAGCATAAGGCCCTGTTCCACGGAACAAGCACATCTTGCTTCTCAAAGTGCCGGTTCTTTTGTTCCATGGCCCACACATAAATCATCAGCTGGCCTCCAGGAACTAAGACCCTGGCCATTTCTTTTATTGCTCTGATTCTTCTTTGTTTTGTAGAAAAATGATGTATGACTGAAAAAGAAGAAACTAGATCTCAGTGTGTATACATATACGTAAACCGATGCATTCAGACATTAGTATATTCCATACAATAACGATGCAATTTCAGCATGCAGGAAAGCCTCCTTATTTCCTACATGGCAGGATAGATGGTGGGAACAGCACAGCCTTGCTTTAGGGGAGACATAATTTTTGTCTCTGGCTCCTGTACTTTTTTGACAATTTGGGGCAATTATTTAACTTCTTTAGATTTCAGATTTCTTTGCCTATAATAAGACACTTAAATAATGTGTCCGTTCCAAATCCTCCTAGTTCCCAAATCCTATGAAATTTGTTAACTAGAAGGATGATCAGTGTGAATTAATGAAATTTTCCTGGGAGCACTATGTTAGGTAAAAAACTATGAAATAATTCCTTGCTTTAATGAATGATTGGTACTTCTAAAGCACCAAAAGGTTAACACCACTAATCAATGTTAACAAAATTAATAAAGCAAATAGAAGTGGAGAAGAATGTTAAAGATTGTTTTTCTATTTAGATAATGCAACAAAGATAAGCCAGCCAAGCCCAAGTCCAAGTAATTGCTTATAATTTTTTAAAAAGTTAATATAAATATAATATTTAATATTTAATTAAATACAGAAGTTTGGGCCCATAGCACTGTATCCATCCAGCCTTCCCCACAGGCCAGTTTAGACTTAGGTCCCCAAGAACCATTTTCAACAAGGGAGCAAAATTTAGACAAAGATGTGTTTGTGGAGACGTCTCAAAATTTAATATTAATATAAAGTGGTTGTGTATGTATTTTCAAAAAATCAACATATAAATCATTGTTTTACTTCTAATCCCTGCAAAGTTAAAGTGAGATTCAAGTAGGACTGCCTTTATCCAGCCTTAAGTGTGTTATTAGGCATATTTTAATCAAATAGTATGTGGAAAGCGCCAGTCTATTAGTTCCGAGAGGAGTTTGATCACAGTTCTGTGTCAAGAGAAACTATCAGATCTCTTTCCACATGCAGGGGTAAGGCCCACCCCATGTCTCAGGTAGGAAATTGGTTCTAAGGGGAGTCTGGACACTACTGCTCAGGTATGAGTAGTGAGAGGAGAGATGGAGGGGAGGCTAGGACAGTTCCTATAACCCTCACCACAATCCAGCTGGTAGTGGTGTGTTAAGCAGATAAATCTCTAGTTTACCTGCCACAGAGAGATAGCAAATATCTAACATGAGATTATTATGGAGATAAAGCTGTCAGAGGAAGATCATTCAACAGGCACATTTGGTCTTGTTCCCAATCAGGTTTTTGTTCCTATCAGCAGCACACACACCCTGGTATCTCCTGCCCCGCCATGTAGCAGTGTGAGAAGCCAGAGGTATGATGAGGCTAAAATGGGTTTGAAGAACAGGAGCCCCATGTATTTTGTCCTAGATCTGTTAGTAACTCACCTTGTGATCTTTGACCAATCACCTGACTTCACGTGGCCTCAGACTATTCCCCACTCCTATCCCCACAGGGCCCTTTATAATGGTCCATTTGAAAGCTTACATGTCTAGAGACAGAGTCTTGAGCTAAAAGGAGGCACAGAGGTCAGGAGGACAAAGACTTAAGATGAAGCTAATGTTCATATCTAGGACTATTCATGGTTGTTCATATCTCCCATGACTTGCACCTAATTCACGCCAGAACTTCTGTGGGTGTATCTTGCAAATATGGTCAATCCTTATTATCTGTGAATACTGTATTTGCAAATTTTGCTACTTGCCAGAATATATTTGTACCCCCCCAAAAATAGCACTCTCCATGTTTTTGTGGTCATTTGTTGACATGCACATGGTGGCAAAAAACTCCCATCATGCATGTTCCCAGCTGAGATTGAACCAGGTGACCCCTGCTTCCTTGGTTTGGCTTACCTCCTGTCAACAAGTGTCCTTTCATGGTCTATTTAGTGCCACATTTTTTGCATTTTGTGCTTTTCGTGTGTGATTTTGCTGTTTAAAATGATCCCTGAGCATAGCGCCCAAGGGTTCCTAAGCGTAAGAAGGCTAGGCTATGTCTCAGAGAGAAAATAGATGTGTTACAGAAGCTTCGTTTGGGCTGTTGGCATGAGCTCAAAATAAGTTTTCTTTAGGGGTACCTGAGTGGCTCAGTCAGTTGAGCATCTGACTCTTGATTTCTGCTCAGGTCATGATCTCGGGGTTGTGGGATGGAGCCCTGCCTCAGGCTTTGTGCTGGGCCTGGAGTTTGCCTGGGATTCTCTCTCTCCCTCTGCCCCTCCCCCTCTCCCCCACTCTCTGGAAAAAAAAAATACATAAAAATTAAAAAATAAGTTGTCTTTAAACAGAGACACGGGCGTCTGGGTGGCTCAGATGGTTAAGCATCTGCCTTCGGCTCAGGTCATGATCCCAGGGTCCTGGGATCGAGTCCCGCTTTGGGCTCTCTGCTCCGCGGGAAGCCTCCTTCTCCCTCTGCTTCTCTCTCTCTCTCTCTGTCTGTCTCTCATGAATAAATAAAATCTTAAAAAAAAATAAATAGAAACACATGTAAAACAAGGCTGTGTATTAGCCAGTTGACAAAAACGCTGCAACCAGAGGCTCACGGAAACCTAGTCCTGTAGTTCCCCTGGGAGCAATGGCTCCATATTCACTAATGAAGTGTTCAAGAGACTTAATACAGTATAATTACCGTGAATAATGAGAGTTGACTATGTTCCTTTTTGGGGGCCAAAAAGGAAAAAAGCATCATTAAAACCAGACTAATACAATAATCTCTTTTTAGCAGATTCGTAAGTCTTCAACATTCCAGGATTCTGGGCTTCAAAAGAAGTCTTTTTTAATAGGAAAGTCTTTATATGTATTTGTTAAACATTTGTTCTGTGATGATTCATTTTTAATAGCATAATATCACCCAAGAAATATCTCAATCTTTTATATTGCTGCTGCTTTTTTTTTTTTTTTAAGATTTTATTTATTTATGTGCAAGAGAGAGCACTAGCAGGGGGAAAGGAAGAGGGCCAGGCAGACTCCTCACTGAGCAGGGAGCCCGCCAGGAGGCTAGATCCCAGGACCCCAAGGTCATGACCTGAGCTAATGTCAGATGCTTAACCAACTGAGCCACCCAGGCACCCCTGTATTGTTTTATGTTTATATTTAACATGTAATACTAAGTAACCTTTAGGCCATATTTTTTGGGGAAAGTTTACAAATGAAGATTTCTTCATTATATAAAAAATGTATTTTAAAACATTCTAAATGGAGCCAAAATGGGATATGAAGATACATTTACATGAATTATCAATGTCAGGAAACTATACTGAATCTTTAAAGGATAAAAAAAAATCCCCTTTTGTTTAAAAATCATAATCACAACCTAAAGGCAAAAATAGTACAATATAGGGATTCTATAGCAATGTATTCCTACTGAGACCCCAGAAAATAGGGAGGTTGAATTCAATTACTGGATTCTAGAACTAGATGGGAAGTTACACAAGATCATTTTTTTTTTTTAAAGATTTTATTTATTTATTTGACAGAGAGAGACACAGCAAGAGAGGGAACACAAGCAGGGGGAGCGGGAGAGGGAGAAGCAGGCTTCCCACCGAGCAGGGAGCCCGATGTGGGGCTCGATCCCAGGACCCCGGGATCATGACCTGAGCTGAAGGCAGACACTTAATGACTGAGCCCCCCAGGCGCCCCATCACAAGATCATCTTTAAAGTCCTGCTGTATCTTGATATTTTATGATATATTGTTATGTAACTTTTCCAGTGTACAGGTCTCAAATCTCTATCTAAAAGCATTCAGAATCCATAGGTTTAGCATAAAGCAGAGTATTCCAACCTCAGCACTCCTGATATTTCGGACTAGATAATTCTTTGTTGTAGGGGGCCACCCACTAGGTGATAGTCGGTTGTACATACACACATCCAGTTGAGCCAGCTGAAAATGTCTCCGGACAAGGACAGGTGTCCCCTAAGGCTGGCGGGGGCAACAACATAAACCCAAGCTGAGAACCGTTGGCATAAAATAAATAGTTGATTGGCACTGTTTTAATATATTGCTAAATTTTCACAGAACTGTCAAGCTATTCTAAAAGTAAGTGGAAAGAGTGTTTCTTTTTCCAATCTGCCAGCAAAACATAATGAATGTATCATTAGGTATGATGCTTACCTTTCAAAGTATTATGATTAAGAGACATGGAAAAGCAAAAACTATATTTTTCTTCATGTGAAGATTAGCAAAAAGTGTCAACATACAGATTTCTAAACAGGGAAGTAAATATAAATGGACGTAAGAGAGACAGACTATCAGAATTTTTCATAATATGGTTCTAAATGTGAAACCTAGCTGAAATGACCACATCACATTAATTTATAGTTACAGTTCCTAAAAATACATGGTGTGTTTCCACCTAAGGAAGCATTTTTCTTCAGAAGATGGCAACCGGGTGTGTTGTATTTCTTCTGCCGACAAGGCATGAGACTTCTGTTGAAAGCCGAGAGAGACTTAGAGCATTTCCCAGGCGCAGGAAAGCCGGGCAGTCTCCCCCTGCCCACAGTGGTGCCCCAGTGGCACAGCCTGGACATGGGGAGCCTCGCAGACTCTAAAACTGATGTCAACGAACAAAAAGAGCAAAGAATACACTTCTCTGACCTCTCCGCGATTTCTCGTTCTTTCGGTAGAATGACCAGCCCCGAAACTTTCTTTCCACTCAAGATTCAAAGCATTGTAATGAGTTGCTTGGTGTAACAGGAATCCCTCCTCTTCATGTTGAGGCCCCAAATGGACTTAACAGTTTCGACTGCAATAAGTGGGGCTGTCGTAGAGCAGGTTTCCATGGCAACCGTCTCCTGCCAGTCCCAAGGACTTTCACGGCTGGGGCATCCAGGCCTGCATCCCCTCGCTAAGCAGAGATATAGTCCCCATCTAAGGTCAAATAGATCGAGTCCTCATTTCCTTCAGGAGAGAGCAAATAGTCTTACTCTGTATTTTTATCTGACAATCAGTTTTGTATCTAGTCAATTTTATGTAGGATCCCCTTGCTTTGACGAAGCTCGCTGGAGTCAAATAGATTAATCTTTTAAGTGTATTGGAGCAAATGATTTGCTGTGCAGAAGATTTTCCTCTTTGCGGAAAATTGCTGCAAGATTCCCTAGCGTATTTAAATAGGACTAACGGACTCGGTTTCAGAACTACGTGCATTGCGTAAGAGAGCCTTACCTGTGTCTATTTCAGGCATGGGGTTTTGTTTTTCTTTTCATTTGTGGCCTGTGTGTTTGTATGGGCACATTTGCTGGGAAAATAGCAACATAATCCCTAGACTTCTGAACAATCTTTGGCATTAAGAGAGCTGAGTGGCATTATAAAAATAACGCAGTCTGGGACCAAGTGGGGCCATCTTCCCTGGTGCCTTATGCATCAGTGAGCTGTAGGCTGCATGACACAGCCTGCCAGGTGACATTCAGTGCATCAGTTTTATAATGTCCTGCTAATAAAGGACAACTCGCGACCTAAAGCAGGTAATATGACTTCTAAAGTTCTACTTCACATTGGAAAAATCTGGCTTCATTTCAATATAACCAAGTACAAAATATTCCAATGAGTAAAATTCCCTTAATGCTTTCTTACTCATAAGTAAAAGAACTGGGAATGAGTCATCGGAGAGAATACAATACCAACTGGAAGGCTTGACTAGTTATCACAATCCCAGGTACCACCATCAAGTACCTTTGAGATCAGTTCAGTAATCCAGTTGAAATATTTTTAATAAAAATTAGATCACATGAATCACATAGACATTTCTCCAAAGAATGCACGTTGAGTTGTGAGAAGGGCCTCCACCAGGTAATGTCATTCTCAAGGTGAAGAGTGAACGTGTGGCCAGAGGCTGCCTTACCTCCTATGGAGATGATAGCATCCAAGCCCTGGTCCCTAAAGGGGAGCTGAAGGTTGTCACATACCATGACTTCACATCCTCTGCTCCGGGCAATCTCTACCAATGGCCCACAGTAGTCACAGCCCAGGGTGTACACCTGGCTGTTCACTTTAAGATACTTTCCAGTCCCACAACCTGTAAGAGAAAAACCTGTGTTACGCGCCGTCCTTTCTGGGAAAGTAGAACGCACAGTTTTTCTTATAACAAGCAATAGAAATAACTTTGTATTAACGAACTGAGACCAATGACAGCATGGCATGAAGGTATTCACAAAAGCCAAAGAAAAACCTCCAGAGGGCACTTACAGATTTTCACTTATAGGAGGAGAGGGAGAGGAATTGGGAAAAAGAAATTATATTGATCAAACATTTAATGAGGTCATGCCTGTAGGGGTGAGCACGCAAGCACCACCAGAGACTGTTAGCTGGCTCACGGCAGGAGAGGGGGGTTTCCTAGACCCCAGGAGTGATGCTCAGTCCTTTATAAAAGCTACCTTCACATACATATTTCATTATGCGAAGGTCTGTATGTGATGGCATTTATTCTCATATTCTCTCTCCAGACATTTTTTAAAAGATTTTATTTATTTGACAAGGAGAGAGAGAGCACAAGCAGGGGGAGTGGCCAGGCAGAGGCAGAGGGAGAAGCAGGCTCCCCGCAGAGCAGGGAGCCCGATGTAGGACTCGATCCCAGGACCCTGAGACCATGACCTGAGCCAAAGGCAGACACTTAACTGACTGAGCCACCAGCCGCCCCTCTCCCCAGACATTCTTACCACTCACTGGCTGTGTAAAACAAACTACTGCCCACCATTTTTCATTAGATATAAATAAATGAATGTATACAATAAAACATGCTTTTCAAAAATGTTGACTTTGAATGAAAAGGGAATTTCGGTATCTTTTCATCCAATCTATTGTCAGTTCTAGGTTTTAAATGATCTCTGTTGACTCAGTATGCAACTCTTAGAATTACTTTTTTCTTAAACAGACCATTTTTGACATTCATTTTCTGGTGGCAGAGACCCAAAGAATTCAATATTTACACAACCCAAAGATCTAGATCAATCGGATCTGATACTACAATGAAGAAGGAAGCAATAGGAGTGAGTAACCATCGTGAAACAAAGCCTTCTAGGATCTGGTACCTAGTATTATATTTGCACAGACATAGCAGCTAATTCCTTTCCCAGAAATATTTAAAGATATCATTAGAGCTGATATTTGTGCCTACTGGCATTAGCTCTAGATTTTTCTCCCTGAAAAAAAATCTACCACTAATCAAGGATGTCGAAAATACGTCACAATGCTCTAATAACTCCCTCTTGATAGGCCATTCAAAATTATATGAGACACTAAAAGCATAATTAAAGTTCATCGATGCCAGCTGAGACAGTGGTGAGCCTGTGAATAAAAAAATAAGATTTCCAGTGTGATTATTTCAATGTAAATGATTGGGGTCTTAGAAATATTTTAGATCTCACAGCCATGGTTCCCAAGAATGCTTACGAGAAAAAGAAACCAATATTTGAGGGGAGCTATGGGGAAAATAGGAATCACAAAGTATTTAAAAATGGCAGTCCTGAGTATTTCAAAGATGATGGTCATAGTTGAAGAAAAAATAGTCTTGCAAATCCGTTTGCTTTTTTAATTTTAATTGGCTCAGGGGATACATTTTAAAAAATGGAAAATTATCATAGAGAGACGAATAAGAACAGGTTCGTGATAGACTGCTGCTTATCGGTGGTGGGGGTGGGGGATGGGTGAAACAGGCAAAGGGGATCCAGAGCACACTTACCGTGATGAGCACTGAGCAATGTACAGAATGGTGGAATCACTACATTGTGCACCTGAAACTAATATAACACTGTTCATTAATGATGCTGGAGTTTAAAAAGTAAAAAACAGGAAAGAAGAACAGGTTTGTGGACCATTCGAGCTAGAGGGAGGTGTTCAGAGGGCATCTGGCAGTACTGAAACCACTCGGGCCTTTTCAAATCTCAGCATCTCCTGAAAGGCTTCCAAGGCCCATGGAACCCTTGATTTATCCCATATTCATTATTTTTAAGCTTTTATTTATTTGTCAGAGAGAGAGAGAGCACAAGCAGGGGGAGGGGCAGAGGGAGAGGGAGAAGCAGACTCCCTGCTGAGCAGGGAGCTGGACATGGGACTCAATCCCAGGACACTGAGATCCTGACCTGAGCTGGAGGCAGACGCTTAACCGACTGAGCCACCCAGGTGCGTCCCAATCCCATATTCATTTCTGATGACATTCAGTTTCAAGGATAGTGGTGGATCTCCCAAGTATGATGCCATTATTTATTTTCCAACTGCATACACCGAGATGCTAAAGAGGGGCAGATTCTATCCTAATGAGATGGGGAACACTGCCAAGCCTAGTGACCCCATTATCTTAAATGTGCAAGAAGCCTATCAGAACATTTTTGATATTGCAGCAAGCTCCAGCACACAACACTCATGCTGCTTTACAAAATCTCATTAAAGGATAACCTCTCATAGTACTGAAGTGAGCAAACAGAAAGTGCCTGTAGGCTTCCATTGCCTCTTTTTTCCATTCTGCACCACACTCAGAGAAGGAAACAGATACTTGCCCCAATTCCACAAAATGTTTTGGTGCATGGTGGGCAAGTGTTTGCTAGAAATAATTAATCTGTTTCCCCTTAAGTTTGTAGGAATTACATTTTTTAAATTTTTTGTTTTGTTGCTAAGACCGTTATCTGAAAGAGAATTCTCTTTTCCCATGGGAAAAGAAAAAAAAAAAAAAGAATGTATAGCCTATTTATTTCCCATTTTATATACATTTCTTGAAACCAGAGATGAAGGGATATGTTTTATTCTGTAGGCATATTACGTGCCTACCACAAAGCAGAGGTTCTACATTTCCATTGACTCAGTGCAGGAATGGTAAATAGAGAATGACTTAGCAAATCAAATCTGACCACAGAGAATAAGTACATACAGTGAAGAGGCAAAGGGAATCTTAATTATTGAAAAGTTCATTTTTATTATGTACGCAAAAATGCAATTTTCAATACTACTGGGACAGACGGTTGTCTCTGATGTCGGGTAAAAAGGTAACCTTGCCCAAAAAGAATCGGGCTCTGGTCTTTTTCCGGCTTTCTAAGCTAATCTAAATAAAGCTCTCAAACCCCAGAACACCCTCCATGCCCCATCTACTAATGTCCTTAGTGACAAGCCCATTTTAGGTAACGGCATTGCCATGACTGCACAGTGCCTAGCATTTCCTGAGAGACTTGGGATTTCTGCTGTCTTTGAATCATGCAAGTTCTTTTCACTTAGGCTATAGTTCCTGCTCACTTAATTCTTGATACCTGCCCTGAAGACTTAGTTGTCATCAGGAACCCTTCACCCACACCTCAGCAAATCAGCTCAGCTGGGGAATGGGGTGAGGTGGTTAATAAAATTTTAATCAACTGAAAGTTGCACCACTTAAATAGTGAAAACAGCCTAGGAAATTACTGTATGGGCAACTGGAACCCGATTACCTCCGGATGTTTATTACTTATGCAAAGTTTTACTCATAATTAACTGTATATTGCTAATCTAATAACTAGTCAAGTTGCCAACATAACAATTGATTTTAGCGAAGTGGAAAAACTGGAAAGAAAAAAATACTTCCTTTTGGAGATAGTCGTATTATCCTACTTTTTTTTTTTTTTAAGATTTTATTTATTTGTTGGAGAGAGAGAGAGAGAGCACAAGCAGGGGAAGCTGCAGGCAGAGGGAGAAGCAGGCTCCCCACTGAGCAGGGAGCCCGATGTGGGGCTCCATCCCAGGACCTTGGGATCATGACCTGAGCCGAAGGCAGCTGCTTAACTGACTGAGCCACCCAGGCATCCCTATCCTACTTTCTTTTCTTCTAATCTCCTTGGGCTTCTTTCTTTTCTTTTCATTTATTTTTTCTTTAACTTCATTTTTATTTTAAAATCTATCTCTCAGGGTGCCTGGGTGGCTTAGTCAGTTGAGCATCCGACTCTTGGTTTCAGCTCAGGTCATGATCTCAGGGGATCGAGCCCCCCATTGGGCTCCATGCTGGGCTTGGAGTCTGCTTGGGATTCTATCTCTGCCCTTCTCCCTGCTCTCAATCTCTTTCTCCCTAGACTGTCTCTCTCTCTAAAATAAATAAAATATTTTTAAAAACCCTATCTCTCATTGTGTAATCAAAATAGTACCATTCATTCATTGAGTACTTAAAAAACAGTAAAAGCACAAAATTCGAAAGATACAAATGGGTAAAAAAAAAAAATATTTACTAGATAAAATTATGGAGTTGCACAGGGGCATCTAAAGAATATTATTTGCACCATAATTTGTAGGAGCGAGATCGAGCAGACAACATGTATCTGTTAATAGGGTGCTATTATCAGAGAATGCCATGCAGGTTTTAATGTGAGGCAGCTGTGTAAGTACAAACATGGAATGATCACAATATATGAAAGGAAACAAAAGCTAGGTTTGTATAACATACCACCATTTGTGTAATCAAAAAAGGACAATCCACCCATATGCACACATATGCAAATGCTTATACTTGAAATATCTCAAGATTATACAAAAAGCTCATTGCCTCTGGCATGGGTTACTTGGTGCCGCAGGACGGGAATGGCATATTTTTCACCGTATACCCTTTGGTACCTTTGTTACTGAGCCACGTAAGTACATCAGCCAGCGAAACAATTTTAAGCAAGTGGTAGTCCTCCTTTTTTTAATTTTTTGTTCGTATCCTTTCCTCATTTTTTTTTTTTTTGAAATTTTGGTCCTATTGTTTTGTACTGACTTTAAAGAATACCCTGTAGATTCAGTAAATTATCCAGTTTTCTATCAGATAAATTGCAGATATTTTTAACTTAATTTTTGTTTTTTGACTTCATTTATATATGTCTAGATTTTTGCCTTGTAGAACTTTCAACTTTTTACATGGCCAAAGATATCCATATGGTCGATCTTCTTTTTTTTTTTTTAAAGATTTTATTTATTTATTTGAGAGAGAGAGAATGAGAGAGAGCACATGAGAGGGGGGAGGGTCAGAGGGAGAAGC